CTTATTAAGTGAAATCAATCAAAGGAAACATATTTGAAACATATTATGTTTTCAAAGGAAACATATTTTAAACATTACCCAATTCACCTAAAATCGAATGAATTGATATTTTTGACATTTATTCGATTTCAAAGTTTAATAGCTTGCTAAAAATATAATTGATTACATTAGTTTAATATATGGATCTGTCTTCGTATCAATCCAAATATTATGATGAAACCATTATTATTACAAATATTCCGAAATTTGATGAAACCAAATCGTTATAAATATGAGTTATAAAGATTATATCAAATAATTATATTCACAAATATATCCCGCACGTATGTGCGGGTCTAAATCTAGTTGTTTTATTAAATCATAAAACAGTGAAATTTTGGTGTTAGTTACAAAATTTTTCATGATTATTATTTGTTATACATTATTTTTTTAACTAGTACACAAATGGTGTTTGAATATAAAAAAAATTGAACTTATAAATTGTGTAAGATTATTATGGGATAAATGTGATTGCGGTATTTCCTATATTTACTTTATTTACAACTGATAAATATCTTATTATTTAATTTTCTATAAATCTAGTTCATGTGTAGATACACTTGAGATTGATCAGCTTCCAATAAATGTTTTTTATTAAAATCTGTTTCCTTGACTATCTTTGGTTTTGGGTATAGTTTTTACAAAATTCATTTTCGTCCAACATGTTAGCGTAATAAAAAGAACCAATGATAGGTATAATAATCATTTCTGATTATCTGAAGATTAACTGATGAATTATTTAGTGTGAAAAGGGAATTAACTAAAATATAGCAAATCACATGGGTGTATGCACTCTGATTCGTGGACTTAAGCACACAGAATAATGATTTTGGATTAAACTAATCACCAACTACTTTCAAAGTTCATAATTGAAAAGTTGTTAATTCAAATAAATCTTTTATGGTTCTATTAGTCTTCATGAGTTGCAGCTTTAGTTATTAATTTATAATTAGACACTGAATTATTGAACGTAGGAAGAATAGGTAGGGGTGAAATTAATTTATTTATTTTTAATAATTTACTAGTTATACTTTAATCCATTGTTTTTATTTTATTTTATCACTAGAATAAAAAGAAGAAGATGCTTTGAATGTGGGGTGGTTTTTGTGTATTTTTAATTAATTATTATTGAAAGAGTAGTTGCATCTCACTCGTTAAAATTTAATGACATTAATAAATTGTTAAAGACATTAAGAAATTGTTAAAGTAATCACAGTGTACATGTGACATACTTTTTATCTCTAAAAATGTTGTATAGTGGCAAATCACTACTAATAGTGTTATATGTTGAACAAAAGCTTATAATTCTCTTTTCGAAACATTTCACAAATCCATTACTTTAAGAATGGTCCATTCCTTTTCGTAATACATTATATTTTCAAGCCATTGCATATTAGGTAATATGTATTTTTCTAACAATCTATTTGAAAAAAAATCTATATCTTTGGACCTTCGGTATTCGAAAACTTGATATCAAGCTAGAACTCGAAAATTTTCGGTGGATTTATATACATTAATTTTGATAGTCAAACACTCACCATATAGCTAGGTCAAAACAATTAAACTATCACGTATAGTAAAACTTTTATAAACTACTACTCGATAAATTAATAATATTTATAAATTAATAATTTAACCTGTTTCAAGTTGGAACTAGTATAATTTTAAACACATTTCGATAAAATAATATTATTTTGAAATTTTTTGTAAATATATAATCCCAGTAATATTATATATTTATATATTATATAAAATTATTAAATACGTGTAAAAATTAGTGAAATATCAAATTTACATTATTTTGTTAGAATTTAATTCTAATAGATTTCATGTATCAAAATTTTATAATGTTTTATTCATTCATAATAAATGTTTTTTTTCTTGTAATTAATGCTACAAAAATATTGATTACAATGATTATTTTTCTTTTATGTATTTCTATAAATTAATAATTATTAATACCTCTATAAATTAATATAATTTTATGGTGCAGGTTTTACTGTAAGATTCTATAAGTAAAAGCTTCATAAGTCAAATCAACGTGCATAAATGAAAACAATTTGATTTGTAATCTTTAATATAAATTCTTATATAAAACCACGATACCTTGAATTGCAAGGCCATGATCACTTGTAATTCAACACACATAATGTTTCTTAACCAGAGAAGTTTTCGTTTATTACACAAGTCTGTTTTATTTCAACAGAACAGTAACACAAAACAAGATCACATTTACTTTTTACTTTACTTTCTTGTGGATCCAATGCTACTACTCTTTTAAGTCATTCAAAAACTCAAGCCTTGGTGTCAATACTCATCGCTTGTGCTTCCTTCTGTGCTCCTTTCTGCGTAAATCAGAAACAAGAGAATTATTACAAGTTCAACAAAAGGCCTTTCCCTATATATGAAACCCTCCTTATTACTGAACTACTATACTTACGTGTGGTTCAAGAAGTTTAGACAACATGTTGCTGTAGAATTTAGCATCTTTTTTGTTGTACTCTTTCACTTTCTCCTTCAACTTCTTATACTCAATCTTCACTTCCCTGGAGAAGAAACTCGATCTTAGAATACATCACAGCTGGAATGAAAGAACTTAGACAAAGAAGTAGTAAAAATGTACTCACTTGTTGTCAGGATCAATTTCAAGAGCTTTCTTAATATCAAGCTCAGCTAAATCGAGATCAGCTGTCTCCATGTACGCATGCGCTCTCCTATACATCGCCTTCACATTTCCACCATCCATCTCCAGCACCTATACACATTCGTTTCATTCATTACTAAGCAGTTCTTCTTCTCTAACTGGAATATCCAAAATTACTACATCTTTTAGTTTTTTACCTTAGTTGACAATTTTGCTGCCTCCTTGTAATCTTTCAGTTTCAGCTTGCAAGCTGCATTGTTCAAGTTACAGGCAATTT